TTTTCAAGCTAAATTCAAGGTGGCCTGAGACCACGGTTTGCTGCCCTGAAGCACTCTGTTCAGGCCACCTTGAAAATAAAGGTGTAGTTGGCACCTTGCTTGCAGCTACCAGGTATAGTACTTCAAGTCCCCTTTCCGTCAACCGCTCGATAGCCTCTACACACGCGCAGCAATCCACAGCTTTGAAGTCTCATTCGTGCTTTGAACTTGTGTGGGTGTGTAAGAGGTTTGGCAACATAGTATTTGTACGGACCCAGGCTAGCTTCAGAGCAACATGCAAACGACTATAGGATTAAAACTAAACTAAATAAGCCACCTGCCTGACCTTAGTTTTGGGCACGTTCAAGGGCTGGATTCAATCTTGTGGGCATGCTTCTGCTTGCACCAGAGTGGTCGACTGTGGACACCTGAAGGGGACTCAGGTGAGGATTTGGAAGGTCAGTCAAGGGTCCATATGCAATATGTTTCCATAATCCAACCCTTAGGGTTTATAGGCGGTATGTCTAGGTGCACACTCCCCGAAATAAGCATAGAAGTGGATGGCATAGCCCCAACAGGTGGTTTTCCACTTCTATGATTAGTTCAATCGATGTACACAGTGTACCCCTTGGACTTTTTGGTATCTCCATTGCTCACTGGCCATTTCTGAAGGTCTATCACACTTGTGGGTGCAATGATGAATCGGTGATGTCAATTATCGAGCACCCAGCAATAGTTGGTGAAAACCAGACCATAGGTAGGGTCATGCTCAACCTTAGTGGATCAGACCCAGTGTCAACCTGTAAAGCAAGTCCCGTTCATGTGGCCATGCTGCACTTCCCACAGTGAGACCTCCCATTCCATGTCCAGACACCAAATGATGTCAATGTGGATAGATTTGGCTACGGCCTAAAACATCGGATTCCATCCAAACCCCCCCTTGTGCAGAGGAAATTTCCGGGCAAAATGACACCGAATCCCTCAATTGCCAGGAAGCGCAGGTTTTTGTTTTGACATGGTTACCTCTGTGTGGGCAGAACAAGACATGAAGCAGATTTGACACGCGGCCGCAAGCAGCTGCGCGAGCTCATTTGCTTGCTTCGACGCGCAGTTGTCGAGAAAGGGAAGCGCTGGCTTTCGTTTTGCAGCTTCTCAGGTTAGTTTAGTATTTACGGCTCGATCTGGGCTTGATTAATAGAGGTTACTTAATCCTAGGTGTGCACTATGACATCGGTTCACGACCTTATTCTGGGAATTACACAAACTTTGCAAGCAACATGCGCTTGGGGTAATGTAGGACGTTCTGTGTGCCATGGAAACCAGAACTCTGAACCGCGACGAGGGGTTTGGTACATTACGCACGAACAGAGTTGTTCTGCCCCACCTATATTTGCCCCTTTAAGTTCTCCTCGGATGGCGCGGGATGGTTCAACTTCGACGCTGACGCAGGACGTGAAGAGGACCAAAACGTCTACTTGGCTGCGCTGGCCAAGGATTTCAACATGACCCTTGGCGCGAACTTGGAGGAAACAAGAGGGGGAGGTGGGCCTGTTTCAAAACTGGGGGAGATTCGCCAACACCTTTCCCAGACCATCCCTGATCATCCAATGCTTAAAATTCGTTACATCCTGCATTCACCCCATTGATGACCCTGAGGTAGGTAATTAACTATTCCATACATGGACGGTCTGGGATTGTCCACATGCAACATTAGAGTCATTAGAAGAAATGTTTGCAAACTCTGAAGTCGAGTAACTTGCTTTTGGAGGGGAATTTGTCCTGGAGTGACTGAGACATAGAGGTCATCAAGTTTGTTGGGATATTCACAAATAAATGCCACTTGCGTTCAGGATGTGCTATATAGAAGCCGTTGAACACTTCGCCGTGAATGGTTGAATGGGCCTCAATGAATCAATGAAATTATGCTAGTGCTTCTACTAGAAATTTGACTGAAAATTGATAGCGCAAAGGTAGCCCTCTGACTTACTTACATGGAAATGGAAAGCCACTTGTTTGCCTTGCTTGTAGAAGGAAGTCGTCTTCCTTACGGGGCCATGCCATCAGAATGGACCCGCGCTTCCCTCCGTTGGAAAAAAATCTCAGAACCTTAGAGGTGACATCTTCGCCACCAGGCTGACAGGCTGACAAAGCCACACGGTAGTATCAGCATTACTGTATGTGGGCTTGTCTTTTAAGAGGGTCCCAACCAGTGGGCCATTTAGTCGATGTTCCTTCTTCCAGAGGGTCTTTGGGAGGTCTCCCTATTTCAATACACACCCATGTAATGATACAACAGGTGCTCGACCTTCGATACAAGCAATAGTTTTTTGTTGCTGCGTGCTCTACAAGACTATCACACCATTTTTCAGCAATCGCAATGTCCAATATATGCTTGACTTGGACACAGGTTTTCGGCAGCTGCGTGAAGGCCATCCTTCATGTGAGTTATGGGAACGGATACCGCTGTTGTACTACCGGCTGTTTATCGCTGCTGGTGTGAGCTGTTCACCCATGTCCACCCCAAGGTCATGGGCCCACCTCTTTGCAGAGGCTATTGGCACCGGAGCAAATCCTTTCCTTCTAACACCCAATGGCAGGGTATGGAAGACTAAGCAATACAAGAAAGACCCCGGAGGTAAGTGAATAGCTTTGCCAAATTGGATCAGCTAAGATATGATAAGATTTGTTGGTTATTTTTTCCTTCAGCCTACCAGAGCACACTGGGATCCTCCAGCCTCCGTCGGGATGCCTCAAGGTCCCTGCCGTACCTCTCCTATTTGTGCCGCAGCTCCCCGTCCAGCATTCGTCGCACCATGAAGACCATGTTCCCGACGGTGCCCAGCGACAGCCAGTGGCCTGGGCAAGCTGGATCTGCCTTGGGTGATGGAACATGCTTGAGGGGATGTGCATCGCCTGTAGCCTTGCTTGGTGCCAAGTGAGTGGTTAACCTGCTTCTAGCTTGGCCGCGAAGAAACACATTACACAATTGACATTCCTTCCTTGTGCTTCTCCTTGCGAGCTAGAACGCAGGGTAAGTGTTGGGGTCAATCAACTTCCACAGTCACCCATTGGTGGACCCAGACCATTTTAAGCAGATGGGCTGTGGAGTTTGGAATTGGCCCAAATGTATTTGGTCCTCCCACTTGTTGTCTCTTCATTAGTGACCTCAGATAAGAAGGAGGGGCTAGCATCTATTTGTTTGGGGGATGTTGCCCTTCCTAAACGCTTCCTGGGCTTTCTGGAGGAAACTACGGTCAGGAAAATTGGTCATGAGAAAACAATTGGTCTCGAGAAAAAGGCCCAAGGATTGGTGATTGGAGGATGTTGGAGTCTTTCTTTTGGTGACCCCCCAGCATCTTCAGAAGGAACTGTCCAATTCCACGCGGAGAAAGCCAATTCCTGTGGGTCCCCCCCTGAAGACTAACTCACATGGACCCTGAAGTTCAGAACCACTGGCTAAGTAGAGGAATGCAATCTTCCAGGCATCCAGGACGTCAGTCCGTAGGACCCAACGATACCCAAAGCACCTGCAAACGAGATGCTGGTGGGTGGGTCCCCGGTTTCGCCGAAAAACCGCATGGCTGTCTCCTCCGAGTCTTAGACATTCACCAAAAGACACCAAGGAGTCGTAGAGGAACCGAAAGACTGGAGCCCAAAGAATTCTGAGTAGTTGATGTATTTGTTGGTTTTGATTGGATGCATACAAGCACCTGAAGACTATGACAAAGACGTGTTGCAATCCATTGCTGCACCCATGCAATGCAGTCAAGATCACACAGGGCCAGCCTGAGACGCACAAGTCATTAAATCGAAATCCGCTAAGGCAGGCATGATGCAAGGCATGCTAGAGATTTGCAATATGACAGCTCTCAACTATTCTCAACTAATCATTAATCATACAACTGTGCAACTGGTTTTGTGTTACACTTTATATATATATAAGGGCATTCCGAATGTGGCCCTTTCAAGCAGCACTTCGACAACATGGTAACATGGTTCTAGAAAAAGAACGGCCCCCCAACCCCCCTAGCTAAAGCTATCAGTGCATGCGTATTGGTGCCTATTAAGCTGCTTTCTGTGTAGACTCAACCGCTTTGCAATGTTCACACCGCGGCACCCAGAACATGTTGGCGAAATCTTTGGGGGACTATATTGGACTGCTGCTGATATAGTACTATAATGGACTAGACTATATTGTATCATAAGTGGGCATGGGGCTGTATATTATGAATTAATGTCAGTGGGACCGTTTTGTATGTATATATCTATACACACTAAACTGCCCTATGTACAAATATAGAGCACATTTTTTTCCTTGAAGCCTAGCGCGTGACTGTATTAGCCGCCTATCTGGTTTCTTCCATCAGCTTCCAGCGCTCCAGGGCTTTCCCCACTGCAGGTCGCGGTACTTGGCCATGCTTTGCTTACCGACCTTGGCGGACTTTTACACCTGCCGTTTGGCTGAAGTGTTGAGCCTTGATGCATTGTTATTGTTTGGACCGATTCCTGCACGCTTTAGCCTGGTAGGCGGTCTAGAAGGCTTATATAGCTGCTTAGCTTTTAGATGCTGTTGCATTTAGACCGATCCTTCCACCAACTTTCCACAAATCATCCCTGGTGACATTTTCACTGTTCACATTGTTGCCTTGCCTCGTGCTGACCCTTGTGAGGCTATCCGCGCATGGAAGCCCTGCTCACCTTCAATGCCCAGAATCCCACGGGACACTACTCTTTGGACTTGAGCAACAGTTGCTGAGCTCGACCAGACTCACCAGGAGCTTTGAAAGGTCGACTTGTGGGCTCGAAAAATGTTTGGACGACGAGTTCGACGAACGACGCACGTCGGGCGAGGTGCACGTCGGCTGGAGATCGCAGGGTTCAGCCTTTGGGGAACGGAATCAATGCTTTGTGTCCATGGGTGTTTCATGTATAAAGCATGTTTCTTCGACGCAGGACTGATCGATTTATGGATCATGCACAAGAAATCAAGACACAAACTTGTGCACATGCCGTGCATGTTGAGTAATGTGTTTTTTTGTCGCACCCACCGTGGCTATATCATATATATATATTCACACTGATTCATAACGCTAGAGTTACTAGCCTTCAAATTTTTGATGGTTATCCAAAACTACCCATGCCCATGGATAACGTGCAAAACCGTTTTGGCGGATTTGGTTCCCCCACCGATCTACAAGATGGGGAGAAAGGTTATATAACCTGGACTTTCCAGATTCTTTCCAGGGAACATGCAGGGAACAAGGACCCTCCACCCCTTTCGCTGGCCATTCGACCTAAGGTTGTGAGTTCGCAGTGGCCCAACGACTCTTGCTACTGGACCGCTGGGAGGCGGTTTGCAACAAGCGCCGGCAGCGCGTGGACACCTCGGCCATGGGGAACAAGTCCCAGCTGCGCACCTTGGTGACCTGTCGTCGGTCGTTGACCAGCATGGCAGGCGATGACCTTAAAGAGCCGCTGGTTTTGTGAGTGGTTAATTAGAGCACTAAAATATACTGAACTTAAAAAACATATGTGTATATATCGACGTCAAGATTTCCTGTATAGAATGGATGGCCTCAAGGCCCTTATGACAGCTCTTTTTTAAATAAGGAAATGACGTTTGGGCCCCTAACTTTGTAAGAAAAATCTGGTGATATCAACGTTGTAGCCATCCATTTTGCAACAGATACATTTCGTAACATTTCGTGAGAAATCCGGTCATTTTATAAGGCTTTCGAGGCCTTCGAGAAAAAAAACAAAAACATTCTACATAACATATTGTTTTGCTATCATGATCTATCATGATCAGATATACATAGATATACTGTAATCAACATTGCAGGCAAGAAGGATTGCAGGCAGGAATCCTTTTATACAAAACCTGGGGCAGGTTGCCAAAGGGGTTGCGTTTTTATAAAGTGCCTTGGACCAGAGTCGCATCACCAGATTTCTGTAAAGTCAAGGATTCGCAGGGGCAGGGGGAATCGTTTTGCTGATTGATGGAGAGAATTTTTTTTTATAGAATGTCTGGGGCAGGTTGCAAAGGGGTGGCCTCTTTATAAAATGCCTGGGCATAATTTCATATCACCAGATTTCAGTAAAATCAGGGATTCTCGAAACTCTGTGGGTAGGATGGGGCAGGGGAAAGGTTTGGCTGGAGGATTGCAGGCAGGAATCCTTTTATAGAATGGTTGGACCCGACGTCATTTTTCTAAATCTTCGGGCCCCAACCCCTTTGACTACAACATGACCGGCTACAACCCCTATGAGCTCCCAGTTTTTTGTCCATAGACAGGCGCACGAAACTTTTATAGAATGGATTTTCGATACAGGTCAGCCAATCATTTTGCAAGAAGGATGCCTTTGCGTCCATGCATTTTGTAACAAATGAGGTTGGGGCCCCGCAGGTTTTGTATACAGAATGGTTGGCCCCGACGTCACCCATGAAATCTTGACGTCGATATATATATATATACATATATATAAGAATATATAAGTATATATATGTTTTGTTGAAATCATACTTAAATACCATGAATATATGCTATTATATGCATTTGTAGTCATGCGCAAAGTCCGATGTCTTCCGCTTCGGCGAAGACTTGACGTGGCGAGGGGAGTTTTCTTCCTCGCCCTCGAGGCAATGAGAGCCATCGGGGACGACCACTCCATTTGCGAGTTCGATCCGTGGCAGACTCTTGGGCAGTGGAGTGAACGATCAGTGGAGGAGTGGACAAGATGTCGATGTGGATCGGAGGAAAGTGCTGCGTGGACTTTTTGGATACTTTTTGGCTGATCTTTTGGGCGGCTACCTTTGTGAAGAAAAAAAGGACCAATAGTGCCATATAGTGCTGGTACTGGCACTCAAGACTCAAGATGAACCCTGGCTCAGTTTGAAGAGCCAGTCATGAAACACCTCGAAGGCCACAGATAGTGTTCCTATGTGTTCCTCTCTCCAGGTGCCTCTCAAGTGGAGAAGGGAGATCGCACCCACGGGCCGTTCCCAGTCTGGATGCCCAGACTCGATGTGGAAGGTCAAGGCCGAGCCCAGTTGGACTCACCAGCCCTCGCAGCGCCGGAGACATCCCCGGCAACTCCCAAGGGTTTGAGATGGTTTGATGCCTTTGGAATGGGGGCGGCTCCATGCGGCGCCCAATTCGGCCACTCGAGGAATGGAGTTTGCCCGAGTATGGTATCTTCGACTTGGACTACGTGAGCTGCTACCGACCTCCGGCCAAGGCCAGCCCCTTGAGCGATGGCCTTTGGGACGCCTGGCAGCTTTTTAGGTGGGTCCTTTGTTTTGGCGACGCCCAGTGCAATTCCATATGAATGAGTTCATGTTTGAATATGTTTTCATGTTAATTACCAATTAACTGGGTGAAGTTCACCCCATTGAACCCCAAAAAGAGACATAGATGGCCTTGTACAACCAATGGGAATATGGTACCCGGCGCACTGACCCCTCCATTACTGCGAAGGGGGGACATCATTGAGAAGAGACCCGTGGGACACTCTGTTTGAAGCTCAAGATGATGACTTCCCCTCGGCTCAGCCTCCAACTCTTAGGAATCCCTCATGGTTGCCATGTACAACTGCAAGGACTGCAGCACGACCTCGTGTGCTTTTCTTAGCGCTGGGGGTGGGATTTTGGTTGCTCAGAGTCTTTCGATTCTTAGCCTGTACGACAGGCTATGGCATAGGGTTGTACGACAGGCACGGGAACGGAACGCATGAAATTGCTTGAGCAAACCCATACCTGCATAAACAAAGCAATGGAAAGCTAAACAAAGAAACATCGTAGTAGGAGCTGTTTCCTGACATGAGGCCCACAACCTTGTCTAGTGCCACGTTAGGATTTTATCACAATTTGTAGGAGCCTCCTATCACAATAAGGCCCCCCAAAAGGCTAAATTATGACACGGTAAGTTTTTCATGGGGGTTGGCATGCATGAATATATATATATATATTATAGTGGTGTACACCGCAATTGGTAGCCTGTAAATGTATGTATGTAATATAGTCTTGAGAATTGGTGGGTGTTGAATATTACTGACCTCCCGTGGTGAATATATGCAGCATTTGTGCTGCTATATGTTGACCCACAACACTACAGCCATCCTTGACCACACCTCATGTTGCGTTTACTGCCACACCATTCCTAGACCTTCTGCCGTACTTGAAGTGATGCCTGTATTGGCGGAACAAGGGCTCTTCCGCAGGAGTACCGGCCCCAAGACAAGTTGAAGGCTTTGAGAAGCATCTCACACTTGATCTTCATCACTTGCATGCACATGCGCCAGATGGTGGGCGTCCTGGCCAGGTTCGATGTTCGATGATGGATCAATCCAATGGATTCGGGCATTCAATGGAGGAAAACCCACCTGGGACCTACACTTATACCCAAGTGCAGGTGTTGCACCTTGTTGACACATGAACAGTTTGAGACTTAGTGGATGGTCATGCCACTAACATCCACTAACACACAATCCTCGTGGAAATGGGAATGGGTTTTGTGTGTATACACACCCTACTTCAACCACCCAAGTTGGTATCACAGAAGCGCCGCTGTCAAACACCTACACCACCCAGTCAGTGGATAACCGTTTTGGGAAAGTTGTTTCCTCACTAAAATCCAACGGGTAGAAAAGGGCAGAATATTTCAAGGGAAACTGAGGGAGAATGTATGGCATACCATGCACCGGTACATACAATGGGCCTTGTTCTACTAGCTGTAGTTGGCGGCTCAACTCCTGTGCGTGAGAGGCTCGGACAGAGCCAACATGTGGAGGCCATCGCATACAAAGCTAGGATATATTGTGGGAGAGGCCAAACTTGTTCTGGGGCAATGTATTCAAGCTGCTCCCATTTGCTCCCTACTTCAAACCTCTTGGTTTGATGGGGAAGCCGTAGAGGATGCCTTCCAAGCACTGTATTCTTGCACTTCGGATGTAAGAGGGAATGTCACAGACCAATCAGGGAAGAGGTAGGATGTTCATCCGTTTTCATGCCAGTTGGGGCAGACGTCACCCAATAACCGGTTTGTCAGACTTAAAGGTGCAAAAGGGTTAGTTATCACAGCTTCTCTAGCGCCTCGCGGATCATCACGTCCTGTCCGACTGGTCACCGCCCTGTCGCGGAAGGAGTCGCAAGCCTCATCCGAATCCCATCCATGGGCACAGCTATGTACAGCTTCACACATTGCTGCTTGCACACCTGACCATAGTCAACTTAATTGCTTGATTCTTACAACCACAAGGGTATTCAAACAAGTCAAGTAGTTTTTGAACAGAATGGGCAAGGGCCAAATTCTTACTTCATCCCTGCTCATTGGGTTCACAAGTGCGACCTTCCAGTCAAGTCATGTGCTTCAAATCATGACCTACTTTCTCACACCGCTCCTTTTCTCCCCCAGCGAACCTTTGTGATGTGTCCAATTGCTCCAACTGGGTCAGATCAGGCTACTTTCAAGAGAGTGAGTTCAGAGAGGAGGCCTTTGTGACCTTCTTTCCCCGTGTGGTGGACATGCGCCTTCGCCGCCAGGGCATAGGACTGGGTGAGGCTGAAGAGATGTCCTGGAAAGTGGCACGGGAGGTCAGTTGGCCTGTCAAGTTGTAGATGTGATGGGTACTTGTTAGGTTAGTTGCTGCGCTGCGACTGACCGGGGTAGATGAAGTCCTGCTGCCCTTGACTTCAATGTTTTGCACATTCGTGATTCATAGTTGGGACATGCTGGGGAACATTCGATGAAACGGACATCACTGAAATACCCAAAGTCTTAGTCAATGATCAAATATGACCGGATGATATGATTGTCGTCCAGCCCAAATTGCTTTACTAAAGCCAATTGAACCAGTAAAGCAATTGAACCAATAGTCGTAGTCATGGTGGACCAGCTCCAGCCCAATGAACTGAAATTGAACCAGTTTAAGTCCTACGTTACGGGCAGAGCACCCACCACATCACATGACATGGGCTTTTTGTCGGTCTATGTTCCTTGGATCAATTGTGCGAGTTGCCACATCACGAAGTGTGCGTACAAGCAAGCCAGAAGTGTGCGCACAGCCTTCAGATCCAAACGTGCTCAAGTAATGAACGCTGTTGGCGTTGACCTGACATACAGCAATAGAGATAAGTGGAGCGCGTTCCCCCTTAGCTGCTAAAGCCATGGTGCATGACAACTCATGGGGGATTCTCAACAATCATCACCCAAAAGCTAAAAGCCTCAAAGTTTCAGTGAAAAATCCGTTCCACTTAGGATTTCAACTTTCACAGTCTTGGGTCGGGATATCCCAAGTTCGTACACATATCACGTATCAGTTGCACTGCACCATCCAAACAAACACATGAGACCAAAGGTTCCCCGTGCCTTTGCAAGTATCTCCGTACCAAGGGTTCTCCCTAATTAGTCAATGGAAGCTCGACTATCTTGCAGACCACTTTGACAAAACCACCCTTTTGGATTGAACAAGTGAACAATCTCTTCATTGGGGGTGTTGTTTTTGTCAGTCTACTTGATCCACATCATTCCATGATCCCTTGTGTGTCCACCCGGCGGAGGCACAACTCCAAGCAGTTCACCGTGCGCTTTGATCGCCAGGACGGGCGGCAAGCACTGGAAAGGCATGGGCAGGACCTTTCCACCCACATATAGAGATGTTGACTGACAAGTAACCCCCTTAGATGGTGATAGATGGACATGTTTGACCAGGATCGGGTTTTGATTCTTAGCAAGAGTCAAAAACATATGACTTGTCTCAGCCCTAGCTTGAGCAGATCAAGTTTGGGACTTTGCAACCCAGGTGGGGTTTCGAAGTCCAAGTCCTCTTGGTTCATCCTTTCTCCTCAATTCAGCATGGTTTGCAAGTTCGTGGATGTTTGCATATGTTTCCGGGTGGTTTCAGCCTGAAATGGATACATGACTAGCATACACCCCGGAAACATCCCAGGAGGGGCGATCCTGGATCGCCCAAGCTTCAGCATGGCCCCAGGAAGAGCTGCAGAGGCTACGGAATCGTTTGGGCTTTGTGACATCCTTCCCATTCCTTCAGCCGGTGACGCGGAGAGGAAGACCAACGGGTCGACCAAACGAACGGCTTCGCGACGGTCGGGTCATGGTGGACCGGGTGTTTGGCTCGGTAGCATTGAGACTGGGCAGGTCGAGCAGAGAGAAAGCGGATCATTTTTGCAGGAAGATTCAACTATTTAACTATGTTGAGTTCATTGTGATGATATTTTATTTTTCCAAAACCATCGGAGTCGCTGTTTCAAGGTGGATGAGCCCCCCTCCTTTTAATGGATGGCCGTCGCAGTGTCCGGGCACCCCAACGAACTAAACACACAGTCTCACTGCTATCACTGCTTTTGGCAGTTGGCTACCTGTAGGGAAGGCAGGGACATGTATGAACATGTTAATGATTTGGAGTGGAGTCATCGCCCACCTTTACGTTGATAGGGATTTACCCTCTCTCAATGGGCAGTCTTCAGTCTTGTCCTTGCAGTGCGTCTGAGGAAAACACTCGATATGCAACTTGGCAGCCACGTGGGTCAAGCATCAGGTGGTCGACGAAGACCCTCTCCCAGGGAAATGTTTTTGGATGTGTTTACTTATGGACTATCAGCTACACCCGGGAATTTTAACATGAAACCTGAAAATGGACCTTTGGAAGACTATTTTCCTCTACAGCCCGTTGCAGACCAGTAGTTTTCAGGTTCCATGTGGGTCTCTTCCAGGGTGTATTTGTACAACTGGACAACCACTTAACCGCTTCAGGATTTCCCTAGGTCAGCCAGCCATGGTCAGCTAAGTAACTCCCTGCCAGTTCCGATCAATTGACAAGGCACGAGAAGGCTTACGACTTATTGAAATGCAACTTCATAACTTCCGACATCGTAGGGTGACTTCGGACCTTGTAAAGGTTCAGGCGGCATGTGCTTGAGACTGGATGTGGAGGTGATCAGGTGACCAGAATGGGTATGCCTTTGTTCTTCAAGGACCTTCTTCAGGTCCATCCAGTCCTTTCAGAAAGGGCCGCCTGAATACCGGACAAGGTCCATCCCGTGTGCATGTTGACTCGGAAATGGGAGGCCCCAACCTTAGCAGGGTACACAGCGATTCGTTCATGGACCATCCGAAACAACCGGTGGATGTTTCGTGCTCCTCTGCTAGGTCTTGAACCTGAAGTACAACGATCAGCGCCTCTGCTGCGCACTGCTGGTGGACCTGGCCATCAAAGAGAAGTTCGGCGCCTCGGCCCCGACGAGACGCACCAAAAAGGAGACGAGGATGTCCCGGATTTAGAGAGCATCGCTTGGTTTTGCTTAGGGCTTGGATGGGCTTATATAGGGTGATTTCGGTTGTCCCGAACATCGTCAATCCCCTTTGGACGATGTGTGTTTCTGGCCGGACACGAAATCCATCACGCCCCGCGAATTCTGCCTCAAAAATAGCCCGACGTGAAGCATTTGTCGTTGGAATATTTGCTATGCAAGGTCAAGGCACATATCGGGGTCTTGTTTTAGTTGGGGTGTGTCCAGGTTCATCGTTTCTACCAAACGCTATGCGTTTGGCGAGAGGCCTCTCTACACATTGACGTGTGCTTACTTTTTCTTGGGGGGTCATCGGGAGTTTCCAGACTTGTTCCTTGCCTCTCGACGGAACCTATGATCGGCCTTCTGGAAATTAACGACTCTTTTAGCGTTTTGGATCGTTTGGGTATGTTTTGGGACTACTAGGCCCCACTAGAAGAGTGGGGCCACTGTTAGAGCCTCAGCATGGTCATTCTCTTTTGCAACTGACGCTCTCAGGTTTGGCGGTACCTATATTTACTAAGAGTAGTGCCATTTCATGCAATTTGTTTGTGTGTATGTGGTAGCTCGTCGCGGGGTGGCAATATTCGCATGCTGCATAGGTGTTCTCGTCTCACGCTCTCATGCTGGTAAGACTCGTGTGCACAGATGCGTGAGCTACTTGAGTTCTCTTAGCTGAGCGCTACCTTAGGTGCCATCCGGGTAGCTGATGTGTCCATGTTCCAGGTTCATGTGGTCTCAGGCAACATCCGGGAGTATAGCTACATCACCGAGGAGGGTTTGGTCGATCCGCTCACCATGGGTGTGCCACGCAGCTGGGGCGACCCGGCCAAGACGCCGAGCTCGGGCACGCCGCTTGGCGGACAAGGATGAAGGTCATGAGTCATAACACTCCATGTATGGTATCTAAAGAGTCAACGCAGCTATATTATAATATATAAGTACAACATAGTACAACCATATATGATTCTGATACATATATATATATATATGCCTAGATGACTCCCTCCAACCTCCCCAAATAAAAAAAGACACAATAGTATCCTTAAGAGGTGGGAGTTGATGCAGTTGTTTACCTGTGGTGTGTATGGACATGCGGTCGCGCTTGGCAGATTGACGAACGAAAAAGAACACATGGGTCAGCTCATGTCAGAATGTTGCTTGATGAAAACCTCCGATCAGAATGGCTTTACATCTCCATATGGGTAATATGCGGGGCAGTTTGTGGTAGCCATGCATAATGTGCCCCTCCCAAACTTCACAAAGCGTGGAATCTTCTTGGGACTATTGGGATCAGGTCGTACTTCAGCATTGCAGTCACCTACTGTGCCCATGTTTGAGCCACAGTCTTGCGACCATACTCGTTCATTGTTGCATTCACGTTGCCATGTCCGTTGGTCAAGGTTCACCTGCAAATATGCCGCTCAGGCTGCGTTGTGAAGGAAGTTGGGATGCATTTGTTTCGCGTGGGGTTGGAGGCCCCCATCCCATAGTGCAGACAGAGTTTTTCTGTGCAGCTTGGACACACCTTCAGGTAAGGCTGGTTATGGCACCCAATAGCCCAATAGCTATTCTTTCTGAGATGCTTTTGGGGGGAGGGCATTTTTGCTCCGACCCACCCACTACTATCCATTGCCTGGTTCCACAGGCCGGTCATGTGGGGAGGGTGTCCAGGTGCCCAGGGTCGGCTTGCCGTCTGGGTCAGCACCATGCACTTTTCGGGGTGGCCACAGCGAAGTAAAGGCCTTTAGATCTTTTTGGGGTCGCCCTGGGTCCCTTCAAAAGGCACCAGTTGGGATCTGACCCAAACATCGTGAAGGGGATATGTATGGAACCAAGCCATAGTCCACCTGAATTCTAAAATCTTTACGCCGAAGGCGGGACCGAAAATGTAAGCCACGCTTTCCAAGGTCCTTTCATGCAAAATGTAAGTTGCATTTATGGAACAGGGGTAGGTTATGCAATTTACATGTTTGCACGTCCTGCTGCACACAGTGCCGGTTGCAGCGACTTGCGTTGTTGCAACGCCGTAAAGGCACACAAGAGCCATATAAAGGCAATTTATCTGGATCTAATCCTTGGAGTGATGGGAGGGATTGGGAATTGGGGGTCGTATGGGAGTTGGATGGGACATTTTTTTCCATTGGACCCGCTAAAAGAAGACGATTCATGAAAAGTGCATGAAATTCCCGAGGCCTTCCTGGAAGGTTTGATGCTTGGTCCACCATCTGGGGAAGCTTTCGCATGTAAGGACATGTTTCAAACAGCCGACTGGACTTCCAGGATCTTCCAGGCCTAGGCGTGGTTGCACACTTGGCGGTTCTCCCCCTTATTTCATCAAGCAACCGCCATCCGTGTCCGAGGTGTGTGCTCCGGAGGATCGTCAAGTGGACTTCCGCTGCTTGGCAGGGTCGGCGAGTAAGAACCTGTTCGCTTTGCGGGTTCGTTCTGCGGTGAGAAGACGTTAGGAAAGCGCGTTTTTGTGAGAAGCCTCATGTTTTGGCCGCGGTGCAAGTATTGTTGTGGCATGTTGTGGCCAAGTGGCCAGATTTTTGCTTCAAGCTATTTCAAGCTTTTCGATTGGGCGGATGGCCTGCCCGCCGACCCTACCTGGACCTGCCTATTTACACTAGTATCAATAGTACCGTTGGGTTTGCTCAGACCTGCTCCTTGAGCCGGATGGCTTTGCTTGATGTTAATTCGCAAGCTTGAGCAGTAAGCACCGGGAGTCCGCTTGAGCCTTTAGCCTGGCACAAAGGCAACATGACCATGCGGTCGGTGTTCGAAGTGCTGGGGTTCCGGTTCCCGAAAGTAGAGGTACTAAATCAAGACAGCCCGTGTGCAACTTGTGCTGGCCGATTTTCCAACAGTTCAGCTTGGCGAGCGGCGGGTTAGGCAGTGTGTGGTTGTCGCCACAGTAAGCGCAGAACTCTTTACAGTATGACATGGGCACATTAAGAGGATTTAAATGATTTAAGAGGAATTTCAATATCAGTATCGCGGGGAAGGACTTAACTTTGCTGCCTTTTAATGTTTCTTTGCCGATGTCATACTACAACTGTCAAAGACTATGGCAATGGTCCAAGATCAGCCAGGCCAGGACCAGGACATCATAGTTTGGGTCTGAGACGATGTGAAGTTCAAGCCCCTGTTCACCACCCCTGACCTTGAATCAGCTTGGTAGCGAGCCTCTCCACCCAGCAAGCCAACAAGCCACCTTGCAATTTGCAGGTAAGAAGTTGGCACAGACCTACGGCTTCATCAACACCACCTTCAACGACGCAGACATTGCCTGGTGGACAGGCGCAGTCACAGCGCCATTCGTCCGATAGCCGTGACCTACGTGTTGTTTCCAGTCACCCTAAAAATCTAGGAACCAAATCAGTGCGAGCATGTGAGAGCGCTTCTTCAAGGAAGCTCCCCCCGCCTTCAGGCCGTGGGAGCTTCCTTCAAGAAGCGTGAGCTATCCTGCGTCCAGTTGCTAGAGGCATTTGGAAGCTAACTAGTCGCCCTGAGCTTCTCCCTGACTTAATCAAGTAGGAGCCGATTTAATAAAAGGCAAGCACAAAAGGGGACAAGTGAGCCATTCGGATCTCATTAGCGATCGGTTGCACGACCGGCCTCGGTGGCCAATGATTTGTGGAGCTGATAGTGCTCGAACGAAGGCAGTCGAAAGACACACGCACGCATCACGCAGTCCGATCGCCTACTTGCATCGTCTTGAAGGTCTTGAGGGCAAATGCTTCTTGCATAGTTAAATCTGCATGTTCTTGAAAATTTAACGTCCTCTCATTCATTCTCATTATTTTTTCTTATGAACTTTTTGCATCAAACATATAAGAACACACGCCCCCGGAGAAGTTGGAGGGCTCAACTCCTTACCGTGCCTCACAGCCTACCCTGTGCACCAACGCGCCATGGGGGAGTCGGAGCCATGCTATGTGGCACTGGGCAGTAACATGGGAGATCGGCTGAGGCATCTCAGTGGAGCCCTTCGCTCCTTGGTGACCTGGTTGAAGCTGAGCACGTGGATAGCCATGGTACAGAGGTGACAGGGGATTCTTTGTAACATAGTAACATAGTTTATACCCGGTACCCAAAGTAATGCGTACATGGAGTTTTTCATCGGCGGCTTGGTGGAGAACAAAGAATGAACATGTTCTTTGCCAGGGTAATGGTGGACACTGAGATCTGGATTGAAGGGTGGATTATAGACATCGCATCTTCGCAGTCTTCCATGCTTCGCTTCAAGGACTTGACGGAAGGCGATCGGGAGGATGCCAGGATGCCACTCTTTTTTGGACGGCCGGCTCCACTAGACTCTAGTTTGATCTAGTTTATATAGATGTTTTGCCTTGTAGGGCAACTGTTTCAACCCACCAGCCACTGTAAGAAGCACTCACGGTGCCAGTGCTCAGGTGAAGTTGGAAGGTGTAGAGCTGAGAAGGACCTCCAGCCTCTACTCCACAACTGCGCAATATGTCAGCGATCAACCAGCCTTTCTGAATGCCGTGGTGGAGCTCCAGCTCAGCTCGGCCAGGCGAACCAAAACGTGACCAAGTAAAGGGCGGTGATTGGTGACCAGCCAGGGAGGCAGCAAAGTGAGTCACTACAAAGCAATGTGCTGGGATGTTTCAACAGAAGCAGGAGTCCAAGAGCCTGTTGTGTACTTAAATACCGCACTGGCCAGTAGGGGGGGCAACATCCTGATCAATGACACGGGCTCCTCAGGCTCGAGGATTTGCAGGGTTTGCTCTCTGACTTCAAAGTCATCGAGGAGGAGCTGGGCCGCACCAAGGGGCTTCGGCGAGGGCCAAGGGTCATCGATTTGGACCTGGTGGCGGTTGGACAGCGAAGCTGGGCCCAGTCTTGAGGCTGTTCTTTTGAGATGTTTTGAGGCTTTTGGGAGGTGTTTAAAAGCCCAAATGTAGGGAAAATCGGTTTATGGATCCACGCACTTGTTGGTCTCCAAAACCATCTTTGTTTATCTGACTGTCAGGATACAATTGCATACTATTGCCATTTATTGCCACATTTGCTTTCCACCTTGCAATTGGCATTTGTAAGGAAGTCTCAACATCACCACTGGGAAGTATCCCTTGCAGTTGCCCCATGCACTCATGCACGAGCGTGACTTCGTTTTGGTGCCTTTCGCAGAGCTTTCCCCTGCCTGGACTCATCCAACCTTAGTTGGATCTCCGAGCGTGAGGGATTTGCTGGAGCGGCTGCAGTCCGGAGCGGCTGCAGTCCGGCCGGAGGCGGAAACTTGAGGGAGGGTGGCTGGGGTGTTTGAGTGCTTTGCAGGTTGTTTCTTTTCATGGCGGGTGGGTTGGTTGGGGCAAGGAATGTTGGTCCTAAATTTGATTTGATGCACTGAGCAGGTAATTAGATCCCTACAATATCTATTTCCACTCTGGTCCATCATTTGATTCCTGATCTAGGGATTTCAAAGAGGTCACAAGACAATAAAACACATGTCTCATCATTTGCCACACGGAGTCAAAGACTGTTTGATGGTATTTTCTGAGTTTGATGACCGAATCGGAGATTGATGCAGGTGAGTCAAAGCAAAGATCTCCATGGTCTTTGTGACTTTATGAGGTTCAGCTGGGTGTTCAAACGGGCCACAAACCATAGGAAACGATGGCAAAACCAAACGTCAACCATATAGGGCCTAGGGTGTGCAGCAACAGTCGGCAAAATCATGATAATATCGCATACTTTACTAACACTTTGCTAACCATCATCATCCATCATCATCCACTGTTACTGAAACCTTTACTAGTCATCATCCACTATTATATACGGGTAATGGGGTTTACCCAGACCATATACATAATCAAATGATCGTTGGGATATTTCTGCAGCCATCGCTGGCGCCAGGGCGCGAGCTTGGATTCTTGGCCAGTGCAGATGCTCCCAGGTGCTGCTGGCTTTGGTGCTCGGGTGTCCTCCCCCGGCGTCCTGTGGAGAAGGGGGGAGCAGACGCTAATCATGGGGAGTCCTGGCTTGTGGATCTTGAAGGTTTGGTTTGTTTCCCCGATTGGCAAGTGGAACATCAAGTCTGCAACTATCGGGAATCACAATCAAACCATGTTCTTGTTGTAGGAGCTGAACTCTAAGATCTTTGGGGAAGGCGTTGCCAGGCCCCAAAAGCCACCGTTACACGAAAGCTGCTCCCTGAGGATTCTAAATGTGACGCCAGACTCCTTCAGCGACGGAGGTGATCACCTGGAGCTCCAAGATGCAGTGCAGGCTGCCAAGGCGCAAAATGCAACTATTACACACATTTTTGCCCCCTCTTGGTCCTCCAAACATTTGTGTGTTCACTGGCCACTTTGGGGCCGGAGACGCCCCAGTTGTTCATGTCGCTCTTTTCGTGAAGGACATGATCCAAGCGGGGGCGCAGATCCTGGACATTGGTGGAGAGTCGACACGTCCAGGCTGATCTCCGGTGGACTCGTCACTGAAGCGCGGCGGTGTGGAAGAGGTCTTGGGACGAAGTGGGGTGTACGGCAGGGCCTGGAAAAGTGAGATGTGGAGTAACTAGTAACTATTATTTATTTATGTTTTTCTATCTATCTATCTATCTATATTTCTTATCTTATCTATCTTGTCTATTTAATCTATCTATGTGTCTATCTATCTATTTATCTATCTATCTATCTATCTATCTATAATCTTATCTATCTTACTTATCTATCTTACTTATCTATCTTACTTATCTATCTATCTTATCTATCTATCTTATCTATCTATCTATCTATCTATCTTATCTATCTATCTATCTATCTATCTATCTTTCTTTTTTTATTTCTTTCTTATCTATCTATCTATCTATCTATCTTACTTATCTACTTATCTATCTATCTATCTATCTATCTATCTATCTATCTATCTTATCTACTTATCTACTTATCTATCTATCTATCTATCTATCTATCTATCTATTTGTCTAATGGCCCGTACCTTAAACAATTATTCCAGGGGGGCATGTCACACCGGTAATTTAGTTAAAGGAATATTAAACAAAAACAGGTACATGTTAAACATATTTTCATGAGGGGGTATAAATGATGTTTGCCTGTTTCTGAATTAATGTAAAGATACCGCAGACCAGTGATCTTGATGTGATCTGGCTATTCTACATGGAATCAGGGGGAGTCTATGTTAGTTTTCCCGTTAATTTAATAGAGCCGACATTGTTGCTATGCGGCTTTTGTGTAGTGAATGCAGGCTGGGCATGAATGAAACAAAATCGAAGGCAAACGAAACTGCAATCTGTCCAGCGGGAAGAACTTGTTCACGATCCTTCTTGCTCAAGATTGTCAGGCGATTGCATATTTGTGGTTTGATATTTGGATGACACACTGAATAATTTTGCACATCTATGTGGAACGGGTCTGATTATTATTCCTGGGTACAGGTCAACATAGGGGGGTCTAAGGCAGGGACCATTATCTATCTACTGTATTTTTGTATTTTTGTGTTGACATAATAGATGTCATACAAACCATAGAATTACACTATATTATTTATATAATTATATGTTATTCGACTCAGCCATTGATTGAACCCCCACGTTTGAAGCAAGGAACATGCCAATGGCAGCTGTGGGGCGAGTCGATCGCCAGGTGCTTCGGAAGTGCCCTTGGACGAAGAGTTGAAGCGAGTGGTGCCCGTGATCCAGGGCATCAGGGCGCCTGGGATCTTTGATGCCACAGGCTGTGAGGGGCAAGGTGCTCTTTCGGTTTTGGAGCCAAGCCAAGTGGAGGGGACAAGGTTCCAGCCCAGTCGAAGGGGAACTTGTGGATTCTCATCTAGATCTACCAATCTATAGGGGCCTACGGGCAACTTGTGCCATTTGGAGAGTGGAGAGCTTGCTTTAGAGATCTTAAGAGTCCTTTGAGCATATCTGAGCATGGGAAATCGGTCGCACTTCTGGGACCAGAACGCTCCAACACTCCATGCGGGCCGACCCTTCACGGTTTTGCGCCAAGGAGGCAGGTCTGGAGGCCACCATCAGCATCGACACCCGCAAGGCCTCGGTCGCCCGAAAGGCTTTGGAAGCAGGAGCCGATTGGATCAACGACGTCTCCGGAGGAGAATTCGACCCACAGATGCTCACGGTGGCACCTCGGCCTCAGAGCTGCGCCCTGCAAGTCGACGGCGAAATCCAACAATGATGGCTTTCTTATAGCCAATGATCGCCGAGAATTCGCCGAGAATCATCAATTACCATGCAGGATCAGGGACCAAGCTCAGGCCCCCAAGCAAATTCACCCAACCTGCCAGCTATCTCATGTACGGGACGAATGATTGCCCTGAGGCCTCTGAGTTCCTGGCGCCTATTGTCCTGATGCACATGAAAGGGACACCGGAGACCATGAACTCCTTGGCGACTTACAGCGAGGCGGTGGTCACGGAGGCGCCCAGGAGTTCCCAGGGCAGAAGAACTCAGCCACTCCTTGGATAGAATATGCACTCTGACTCAACTAATATGCATGAAGTGGAAAACCACCATGTTTGCAGAGGACAATGGTCATCCAAGGGGCCAATTTGTTTCACTTCCATGATTGTTGCAAAGAGTGTGTGATAATTTTGCATACGTTGACCCCTCAAACCACCCCAATGTAAATATGATGTTGGGGATAGCTTTTCGGCAGAAAACCACCAACAATGATGGAAATCAAAGCCATTCTCTTCCCTCACCATCGGTGCCAGTGAGTTGTTATATAAGTGTAACTACTGTATCTCCAAGACATTCTGAGACTAAGATTCCAACCAAAGTTGATTTATGGGTTTTACCCTTTTACCGAACAACTATTGCTTTAGTTTAGACTCCAAGACCCGCTCAACCGAACTCTTTGAATCCAACGGACGGCGACGGCAATCGGCTTGATCGCCCTATACCCTTCAGGTGGGCGACTACCTGTTGACCCGGCGGCGCGCGGCGGAAGCGGCCGGAGTGCCGAGCTGGAACATCATTTTGGATCCGGGGATTGGCTTTGCCAAGACCTTGGAGCACAACCTGAGTCTCGGCCCTTTGTTGGATTTTTTTTCTGCGCGACAGTTTTTGGGCATGTCCGGTGTCAATTTTATCAACACCTACAGTACTTTGCAGATGCTAGAGTCTTTTAGAGTATCAAGACATTTCACGCTTTCGCGATACCTTTCACCAGAACCTCCCAATTTGCTTGAGGCTTTTAGGGCCATGAAAACAAGAAAAACAAACACATCAAAACGCACGTTTTGCAGCTTTCATGTTATGCCGTTGGACTCAGACCGCCTGTGACTCGTCGACCCCTCCTTGACTACACACGTCGCACATCGTAGGAGTTTGTTGCGGCACTGTGGGGAACTGGTGGCCAAGACGCAGCCCTCACCTCTGCTGGTCGGCGCCTCCCGGAAGCGCTTCATCGGGACCATTCTGCAGGACGTGAGTCGGAACGAGAACGCGCGGGGCAGGTAAATGACCAGGTGGGAAAGGCTCGAATTCGGAGGTCGGAAATCAAGCCTGGCAGGTGTAGAAGCTTAAAGATGTATATATATATACTGGGAAAGGAAGAGAGGTCATGAAGAGATTCCAAGAGTCCAATCGCAGGGACATCAAATTGGATTGGATCCCTGAAAGGTGGCTTGGTAGGATTGAACATGATTGAGGGAAGTCATAGGGATTCAACATGTTTCAACGTGCCCCTGGGTAACGTCGCAGGAGCCGGACTTCAAGAAGCGTAGCTTCGGCAATGCGGCGGCGACGGCCATTGCCATCGCAGGTGGTGCCGACCTCGTGCGCGTGCATGAAGCCTGGCTTTGCTATGTGTTGCTTAAGGTGATGTTTATTTATTTTCCTCGCCCCATGGGTAGATCCACTTCTGGGAAATATGTGTTTTTGTCCTGATTCCTTCAGCAAATCCAAGGAAGTCAAGGAGATGAGCCAAACAGCACTGGTTTGTGACCGCATCTACCGAGCGAAGAGCTCCAAGACCGAGTCGTCGAAGTTATGAAAAAAGGAGTGTTGGGGGCTGGCATGGGCTAGCATATTTGGAACGAAGTGGAGCGTTTTCAGATACATTTCTTCAAGAAGTGCCGCCCCTCAAAATACTTTGGGGGATCTCCATGTGCTTGATTGTACTTGGCTACACCCATTTTAAAACTTGTGTATTTCCTCCAACCAGGTCCGGCCTTTCCTCCGGAGACCAAATCCTTCACTTGTTTGGAAGCCAGGCTTGAACGAAGTGGGCGAAGATGTCTTGGATCTTTTGGAGTTCTTCATCAGCCGCTACAATCATGTGAACGAGGCGCATGCGCCGAATAAGGTCCAAGAACTCGCCAGTCCACCTCGTCCAGTCGCCCCGGCACCGTGCCGGGTGGTGAAATCCATCGGACCGGTCGACTCTTTTGAAGGTGTGGAAGAAAAGCGCCCGTGGTGAGAGTTCAAAGGAGCAGTTCCATGATGTTCCATCACCTACAATGATTATTTTTGAGATTGGACTGTTATCTACGAGATTAATGCAAGCATATACCAGCCTGACAAAGCATAGTTTGGGGTGAACCCCTTGGCAGACTAACTTTGTTTGTTTCGTGAAGCCCACCGTTATGATGAAAGGCCGCTCAAATTGGGGTTATTCACTTCATTATTCTGGTTGCCTGCAAAGGTATCTTATCTATGTTTTAGACTAGTCATACATAATTAATACACCGCGGCAATAGTGTAACATATATATATATACACATAAATATCATCATCATCATCATCATCATCATCATCATCATCATCATCATCAT